TCTTTTCATTCTTCTTCTCTTCTGGACAGCAGAGGAAAAAAAAAAAGGCTATAAAACACAGCTTTTCTGCCAAGCGATTCCAGAGGGCCTTTCACTGAACACGAAAGTCATCTGCTTTCGCATCGCATGTGTTAATTCGACGATTTTCTCAAGGAAAAAAAAAAGTTTATTTTATATCTGAGAAACAAGGCGTCATATGAGGGGGGGAAATGTATGATTAATCACCTCGTTGAGGGCGATTAGTGAAATTAATTTCCAGTTATTAATCAAGGAAACTCGAGTCGTGTCCAAGTGCTTCAATTATGTTCCTTTTTTTCGAGACACTTGAGCAACTGTTTTTTTCTTAAATGATTATAGTCAGGAATAATTTGCGAGTTCTTTGAACCGTGGTTTGGACTGAATGGTGAGAGAAAAATGTCATGGGCCACCGTAAAAAAAAAGGTGCCATCTGTGGTACGTTCAAGTGCCAGATGCTCTCAACAGGTTCTTGGGCTTGAAGGTAATATTCTCGATTTTCATCCATTTAAATCACGACCGATTTATTTTCGAGAAATGTGTGAAGTAACCGGATTTAAATGGGTATTCAGTCCTTTTTTTTTTTACTATAGTGTGGGAAATGTTTCGCCAGAGATATTATTTACTATATTCCAGATAAAATCTTTCGATTTATTTTTAGTTATTTTTGTCTGATTTTGCCTTAAGTTCAAATTATTTACTGCAATCACATTTGGTTTTGCCAAAATGATTTGAATTTAGAAGAACGCTCATGATAAAAAAAAATTGATGTCCAGAAATTCAGCATTATTTTAGTTTAATGCTTCCTGTGAAAATTTTCAAAACTAATGCATCATCATTAATTATTCTTCAAAGCTTTAAAGATTGAATGTGGCTTGGAATTTACAAATTCATCATATACATTCAAAGCATCAACAGTACTAATGCAAAAAATTAAGCCTAAANTCCATCTGAGCAATAAATCACAGCTTTCAAATCTCATCCAATGAAATTGAACTTCCTGAAACCCTCAAAATGTCCATCACAAGAACCAGTACAAAACTTGGAGATCCAAAAATCGCCCCAATGCAGCCCTTCTGCTGCTGATTCCTCAACCAGCAATGAACTGACTATATACACACATTCACTATCGCGTTCTGCGGAATGAGGAAGCAAACAGCGTGACACAAAATTACTTTTCATGAACAAAAGCCGCGTCCAAGTTTAAAAAAATACAAAATGTTCCATACACACACACATGATGCACTTTTTGGGAAGCTGACCGGTCGACTGCTCACTAGTGACTGAAGACTGGCGGAAGACCCGGTTTATTACCGGGCCCCCGTTGGGGGAGAGTTGTAGGACAGGTTGAATGCTTTTTCGCCAACAGAGAGCAGTCATAAAGAGGGACAGGCAGCGGCAGTATCCTCAGTTGAGGAGGACATGTGGGTAATTTTAATTTTTCCATATTTTTTGCTGTGTTGGCTGCTGTGGACTATTGCAGTTCCTCTTTATGAAAATGCTGGGAAATGAGTGCTTGGGTTGTCCCAATTCTCAAAAATTAGGTAAAGATTTATGTTGGGAAGGAAAAAGCAAAGGCAAGTGAATTGGTTTTAAATTTCCTAATTCAAAAGAAAAGGGATTGCTAAGTAACTGTATCTCAGGCAAAATAAGTCCTTTAAACAAATTACAGGATTGTATGTACTGGAATAACATGCACCCTTGAGTAAGATTTGCACTATGTAGGGGTTCTCAGAAGAAAAAAATGTTCATAAAATTATATCCCCAAACCAGATAAGCACCCCATTTCTTGTGACTTTAAAAATGAAATATTTCAAAGAAAGAACACCCAAATTAGAAATTAGACACAGATATAACCTAAATTCTAGATATTGTTCTTTGCTTCCATTAAAATAAGTAAAATAAAATGCTTCCATTAAAATAAGCCAACCAGTCAGGATACATTTTGCTACAAACATATTCTGGGATACACTAAAAAATGGCAGATTTTACCCCAGCAACTTTTTTTTCACATAGCTCATACATTTAGGCTTTTCCTACATAAATGTGTTCCAGGACAGTGTTCCCCAACCTGTGGTATGCAGACCAGCCTTTTTTGCTGGTCCTTGTAAAAATTTCTTTAGCTTGATACATTCATACAAGATATAGTAATGAAGCCTGTTTTCCTTAATTATCCAAAATTTCTGAAAAAGTGGCAGTTGAAATCATGTGAGAAAACATAAAAGTTACCTGTTCTGCAGACAATTTTAAGACAATTTGCTGATCCTCAAAAGATTTCGTTAAAATTTGGCAGTCCATGAGCAAGAAAGATTGGGAACAATGTTCTATAGGAGACTGAATGTTTGAAAATATTTTGGCACCACTGCAGAAGGATTGTATGATGTTTCCCCTGTTGTCATAATAATCTAAATCTTTCCTTTCTTTTTCTCCCAAAGACACGCCCAATGGGGTGAAATTATTTCAACATCCCATCCACCTGAACTGGCCAAGCCCTTTTCTAATTATTCTTGAGTGAAACTGGAAGTCCCACATGTGGTACTATACCAAGCCGCGCGGCTTTCTTTACGGTCCAGTGCTTTTGCAGCGGATCCGCACTCAACTGTCCCAGATACAAGCACCAAGTGTGCCTTAACTGGCCTATCCAACAATTCAGAACACAAATTCATGAAAAAAACAACAGCAAAAAAAACAAAACACGCACACAAAAAAATAGCTGAAAAACCAGTGTCACAAGGGAAGTTTTCCCTTCCTGAACGCCAACAGCGCCCAAAAAAAAATAATTAGCCAGTTGATCATTCCATTGCCATGAACAGCTTGAATTATTATTTTTTTTTCAATTTCACATAAGAAGAAGAAGATAAAAAGATTTTCTCGCAAGGGTCAAAGGAGCTTGACCCAGCATTTTTTTTTTCTTGGGTGATGAAACTGAACCGTATTTTCAGAAAAATAATTTTATGCATGTGTAGAAAAATTGCTGAACCGTGCACCATATGTTTTTTACAGTTAAAGGAGGAGAAAGAGGAAGACTTTACCACGATAATCATCATCATCATGTTCAGGCCTACTGAGCACAGAATTGCTGAGAACAGGGCCAAAATTTCATGGATCCGGTGTGTGGTTTATATTGCTCAGATTTCGGGCTAGGGAATGAAAACTGAATTTGGACATTTGATCTCTGGTGGCTAAAGTTGATGGAAATGCTTTTGGGTTCAGTGAGGGAGTTCACAAGACGTTTTCTAGCCCCAATGAATCTTCAAGAATAAGCTGAATAATTTTTGTCTTTTGAGGTCAGTTTTCTAAATTTTACTGCAGTGACTATGTCATGCATACTCAGTGAGGATTTGTCATTGTGAATCTACCAATATAAGAATTGCATCATCTTTACATTTTAATTTTTTTTGATGCAATGATTGATTTATTCTGTGAAGTTTTTAAGGAGTGTAGCTGCTGACAAAGTATCCATGTGAAGAAAAAATTGGTTGACTTATTCCTATCTATAATATTTTCCAAAATTGAAGTCAAAAACTGAAAGTAAAAATCCAATATTGTCATTCAGTCAAAGTTTAGACATACAGTACAAGGAAAAATTACAAGCACCTGTCTGCTAAAACCATCAGGATTGGAATTGTGTTATTCAGATCAACTCTCAGCTTTAGGTAGGCCATATTTTGAACATGAAAATACAGTCAACCCTTGGTTAACGTTCCATTTGCCGAACGCTTTTTCACTTAACATTCCTGGTCCTGTGAGAAAAATCCCCTTGCTTAACGTTCCAAAATTTGCTTAACGTTCTGCAGTTGTGCAGCTCTGGGTGATCAATGTGGATGCCTCCCTCCCTCGCTCATGTACATTTTCTTGAATGTGACTTTTTCCACAGCTTTAAATGTGCTTCCTGTGTGGTGGTGTGGTGTTACAATTATTTTATGAACAATTGCAGTGTCACACACTTAATTTTGGTTAACACTTGGACCTTTCCTTGTTTAAAATGAATCTCTGACTTTAATTGAGTGAAGAACTGTGGTTCCTTTTTAAATGTGACGGCAGTCCATAAAGCTCAGTTGTTGGAATACACTCTTTGATTAATTTTTTTCTGAATTTTACCTTTAGAAAAGTTTGCCTGACACCAATTAAATGTTTTTCCCTTATATGCTAAGGGAGAGACTACCTTGCTTAACGTTTTTTTCAGCTAACGTTTTTTCCCGCTGCACCAACTAAAAACATCAAGCAAGGGTTGACTGTAACTTTCTTACTTAAATCAGATAAACCACCTGAAGAAAATATTGTCTGGGTCATAAACTGAATCTACCTACAGATTTTACTGGAAATACACCCATTACAATGAACCCTTCCTATAAAATTCCAACCAAGGGTTTTTTGTTTAAACTGCACCACTTGAATTATTACAGTAAATCCCCCCACAACAGACCTCCATGGCAATGGATTTTTGTACAATGAACTGCCTCTGGAGGTGGTTTTCCCTCCAGAGGAATGGACTAAATCCGCATAACAGACTTCTGGTGGTTTACAATTAATGGCAAATGTTAATTTTCTATTAATTGAATTTGCACAACAGATTTTTTGCATGACAGACTAGTCTATTGCACAAATTAAGTCTGTTGTGCAAGGGGTTGATTGTATCTCACTATACAACTAGCAAATTACATGCAGCTCATTTTCATTCCTGAAATACTGTAGATGGCTTATTACCATATTGCATCAAGTACCACATGCACCTTTTTTCATAATAAAGTAGTATAAGTGAGTTGACTTCACTTATTCATAAGCAGGTATACAACTTCTCAAAAATTTAAACAGTGTACGTGCTTATATGTGATCCTATCCTGAACAAAGTTCAATTTCTGGTACTTGAGAAAATGGGGTATTTTGACAAGTTTGAAACAAAGCATATTTGATACTGGTTTCCAAAAAAACAGCAATTCTAAAATAAGTCAAGTCTGGTTTCCTTAAAAAATGTTTTTGTGAAGTTTTCATTTTGTGCAAAGAACTTTTTTTTCAATGTGGCCAAATTCTTTGCTGGAAACATAATCACACAAGTGCAGGAAATCTTCCATACAGTTCTTCCAAAAGGACTGTCAGGAATAGGTGGAATCAATCATTAAGTATATTGAAAAACATGAATTCATCAGACAGAAAAGTACTCATAGGTTTCATGCAAATACATCATATGTAATTCTGTATGTAATTATAATTTCATTGTTAGTCAAACATATGCCAAGTATTGTAAGATGTGTCAGGGATCCTGTTGTTGATTGCAAGTTCAATTACAGCAGTTCTTTGGAGCACACTTGCAGCCTGATTCTGGATTGCAGCAACAGGAGCTTGAACAAGATCCTGAACCACACTTCTCACCTGAAATTGTTCAGGGAAATAAAAAATTAGATAAGTCAGTTTATAAGGGTTGTGATGGACTACTTATATATCTCACCAGCAGTAGCAGTTGAATCCTCGCAGCCTTCACATCCACAGTTCTTGCAACATGCACAGCACCCAGCTGGATTGCACTCTGAAATATCAAGGAACATCACTCATTAAATATTCTCTCATCACAAATTTGGAAGCCAAATAATTACCTCCTTTGCAGCAATTGTCTGGCATTTTTATTGATGGTTTCTTTCTCCACACACTTCACTTGTTCAAAGAAAGGGCTCAATAAGTCAAGTGAATGAATCTGTGGACTGAGCACAGGGTTTAAATACCACCAAATAGTCTTGCTGAATGAGAACTGATGTTGGTTTTTTTTTTTTGTTCATGGTCGTGAATCAGACACAAGTTCTCTGGAATGTTGCTCTGGTGTGGGATCGAGTTCCCGAATACACAGTCTTTGCACACGGCCCCAAAAAAGTAACCATTCCTTCTGTGGGTGTGTGTGTGAATTATTACATTACTGGGTGTAGCAGTGTGCATGTCACAGCTCTGTGTCTCACACACTTGCGTATGTGCGCAGTTTCTTTTTCCTTGTTATTTCTTATTCCTTGAAAGAATGATGTTTATACTGTATGAGGAAATTGAAAAGTCAGTACATCACCAGTTAAAACTTTATTGGTTATATATTTTATATTTTCAATTGTTACTGAATACACTGTCATTTTACTGATACTGTACTTTTATTGTACAGTACTGCAATAGTCAAGTGCACTACATTGCTCTTGTACTGAGAATTTAAAGGAATAAATAGTGCTGTATTTACTTCAGTATCATGTGCACCTTTTTTCTCAAATTTAAGATGAAAAAGTGATGTGCTTTATGTCATGTATATGCCAATATAAATATTTTTTTAAATTTTAAAGTGTAGGTGTGCATCAGCATAATACTGTACCTGACTCTAATGAGAAATTTGCACCAAGTTTAACTGAAAAACTTGTTTTATTGGAGACAATGGAAAATTAGTTGAATTCATGATTGATTCTTGTCTAAATTCAAACTTCGGTGTTTGTATTTTTTTAAATATTTCGGTTTGAGATGTCACTAAAAATGGAGTGCAGGTCTTACTCAGAGATTTTACAGTATTTATAAAAAACAATTCAATTCAAAAGTACAGTGAGACCCCCAAATGCAGACACCTTGACCTGCGGGCAATTTGACCTAGGGACACTTATTTTCCCATAAAAAATTAATAAAATAGGCCCAACATGAGGACACTGACTCAACATATGGACATTTTGTTTTAAAATTGCAAATACATTTCAGGCCAAACAAGAAACAGATATTTCCAACCCTAAAATTAATGTAAGAAAAGTTCTTGGGAATTTCTCTCACCAATTTACCATCCATTTAGCTAATTTTAAAAAAATTACCTCCAGTATAGAGGGACTTCCTTCTCACTTTTTCACTTGAATGTTATTTTTCAAGATTAAACTAACATTTATATGCACTGTACAGAAGGTATCAGTATTCAATTCCCCAAATTTCCATATTTTGTTGAAATATAATTTTTGGAATCAGTTTAAATTGGGATACATTTTTTTATTTTCAAGGAATTATGATGATTATTTTGCACAGAAAATAAACACCAATTAAAAATTATATAACGTAAGTCTAAGGGAAAATGAGACTTGACTTATGGACATGTTGACTCAGGGACACTCTTGATGAACCAATTATGTCCGCATCTTGGGGTCTCACTGTACTTCTATGAGTCTCATGTGAGTACATGTGGTACTCAATTGATTGCAGTACACAGTACTTTCATAATAATGAAACTGTGATTGTTAGTTAGTTATTTCGTCTTGTGTTTAATGTTGAAATGTTTACTGCACTATCAGTGTAATAATTTTTAGTGTACTGTACTTTTTTATGCCTGGAAGGGTTACTGTCCAATCTGTCCTAACTCCTGATTGATACATGGGTACTATAGTTTTTTCAACTTACAAATGCGATGGCTGATGTACAGATTCAATATTGTACTTGTTGATATTCACTTCATTTGTATTGCAATTTTACTGAATTGTTTAGATTAGTATTACAGTATTGGATCTTTGATAAAGTATCATTCACTCCTGTTTTCTCTGATAGGATTCCTCTGTGAAGCTTTGAAAATTAATAAAAAATATTTACAAATTACATATCAGTGAAACTCAGAATTGGATCCTACATTAATTTGCAATATGCGCATCCATTTTTTATCCAGCACCTTTCTTTCAAAATGAAACTCATATCACTTATTCATAACATTCTGTGCTCATCTAAGAATGAAAAAAAAGGTAAGCAAGAAGAGGTATACCATGGAACAGAGCTCTCAAAACAATACAACCTGACTCTTCAACTGCTCACTTCTGACTGAACTCTCCTCCAAGACCAGGTTCAACGTGTTCATGGCCAGACACCCCATGGGGCAAAGTGGAAAGACAGGTTCAATTTACAGTACTTTGAGCAACCAGTGCTGGTGACTTCATCCCTCATTCATCAAGAGCATCATATAAATTGTGCACAAATAACCAGGTCATGCACTCAGTGCATGTGCCAGTGATATTATTCTATTGATTCATGTCCTGGATATGAAGTACTGTATAATATTGTATCATTTTTGTGTAGAAACTTTGTACAATCTCTGATGTTATTGATTTCTAATTGCATAAATGAAGGGCAGTGATAAAATGTATGGCATGTCAATGTGCTGGTCTAAGTATGTGATCTCCTTCAAATTACTGCTGTACCTTCTTTTGCTGAATGTGTTCTTTTATTACCAGGAACAATGCATTGAATGGTTCAGCCCTTTATCCTCATCATGTGAGCTTTCAAAAGTTTTATGCATACTTTGAAAAAGTGCTGCATGTACTGAAAATACATGTGATTTATCTCACAAAACTCAGAGTATATTCAAGGGATGAGGGGATTTCAAAAATCAATTCTAGCATTTTGGAATTTCAGTGAAGATTCTGATTTTCTTGTATTATAGTTGGATATGATTTTACATACATAATATTCACCTGTTCAGAAAAAAACATCTTTAGGTAATGAAGTTACGTGAAATTTAAGCTATATGTATATAATTTGTGCAAGACAGTTTTCAAACTTGTCTGAGAGCATCTTGAACACCTTGTGCTTCAATTTGGGTTCAGTTATTGCTGTATGCTGCAATTTGTATTACTGCTTTTTTCATTTTTTTATTGGCAAGGGGAAGAAAGTGTATGCATTTGCATCAGTTGTGAAATTTGGGATGTATTTTCTTTTATTTTAGTATCCATATACACAGTTATTTTTTATTTTCTATCCTGTTGTGATGGAATGTGTTTGTATGAATGTGGGTGGGGAGGGGAGGGAGCTTGGATGTGGGACATTGCTTGAACTTTGTGAATGGTGAAAAACAGAAAATAAAGCTTGTTGATCTTCAACTTGCACCTTTATGATGTAGTTAAAAGTGTATTCCCTGGTTGACAAGGTCACAAACAAGTAATTTATATCCTGTTACATTTAATATTTACAAGATTGTCCATTTATGTATTTTTCTTTTGTACAATCAGATTATTCCTAATTTCTGAAATTGATAAGCTTGGAAGAATGCTGCATGCTGGAGACCAGTTTCAATGAACCAGAAAATGATTTGCACATTATTCAACACAGTGTTTTATTTTTTTTTTGCAATGAATTACACAATGGTTAGTCACACAAGGAAGCCTTGAACATTTGAAAGGGGTTCTGATGCGGATTGTGTCTTATTGGCAGCAGTCCTTTGGAGCACACTTGCAGCCTGATTCTGGGTTGCAGCAACAGGAGCTTGAGCAGGATCCTGAATCACATTTTTCACCTGCAAGTATATAATTTTTTTCTCATAAAAATTGAAATTTAGTGAAAAATAAAAAATACTGTCTATGGTTTTTAAATTTTATCTCACCTCCTGCTGAACCACTGCAGCCTTCACATCCACAGTTCTTACAACAAGCACAGCACCCAGCCTCATTGCAAACTGGAAAAGAAAACATAAAAGGTACCTCATTGCATCACTTCAATAAAATTTATTTTTCAAACTCCAAAAATTACCTCCTTTGCAGCAATTATCTGGCATGGTCTCGATTTTTTTTTCAAAGTTCACTCCAGAAAAGGATGAACAGTCACCACCAGTCAGACGAATAAATCTGTGGACTGCTGGAGAGCTTAAATACACCAAATGGTTTCGAAGCAGGAAGTTTATGTTAACCTTGAGAACCCTGAAGCATTTTCGGGGAGTGATCGGGTTCCAAAATGCGTCGCCTTTGCACCCGGCCCGGAAAGAAAAAAATTATTTCATGGTGAAACCCACTTTTGTGTATTTGTCCTGGTTCTGTTGTGGACTTGATGCTCCAAAAATATTTATTGTGTCATTGATGAATATCTGAGCCTATAGCTGGAATAAGTGAAACATGTATATATTTAGTGGGTCAGTTGATAGCCAGGTTGCTGAATTTTTCCAGCAACGTTTTTCAGGACAAGTTTTTTTCCATAAAAAAATGTTGAGAGATTTGTTTGCAAATGTAAGTGCAAAAATCAGCCAATTTGGTTTTCAAAGAAGACACTGAAAAAAGTTTCTTTTCCAAAAAAATGCAGTGTTCAGCTGTTAACAGATGAAAAAAAATAAGGGACTGCCCACACCAAAGTCCAGAGCAGTTTATTAAAACTGAATTTGAAGTGAAAAATTTCTCAACATGTCAGGCTCAGGATATAGTTCATGAAACAATTTGTAGGCATTTTTTAGTTTATCTAAAAAACAAATAGAAATCTCCAGAAGTCAGGTAAATGAACCTATACAGTACTGTGCTTTGAAGTTCAACTACTTCATTGAAAATAAAAAAAGTAAATGTCTGATCAGATGAGCTGATGGTAATCAGAAACCAGTTCCTTTGAATGTTTCTTTATAGTGATCCCTGTTTCCAAACAAGGCCTTTGCACACTGCCTTAAAACATAAATACATGTTCATGGAATTGTGTTTTTAAGAGGCTGTTTGTGTATGTGTGTATATGCCAAGGTCTGGTTCATTTATTTCTCTTGCCCAATTTATCCTGCACCTATTTAATTCAGTATTCCAGTTGATGCATAATACACTTTCCTATGCATTTAAAAATATTTCTTTCCTCTCCACAGGAGCATTACAGTCAACCCCTCACACAACGGACTTGATTTGTGCAACTGACTAGTCTTCTGTGTGAAAAGCCTGTTGAACAAATTCAATGATTAAAAAATTGACATTTTTACTATTTTATTACCATCAATTTTAAACAAGCAANGAAATGCACAATGAAAGACACTGGCTTGATCATAAGCAGCAGCAGCTGCTGCAGCCTGCTGAGCCCAAGAACTAGCATGTAATGCAAAGTTCTGTCCCATCTGGTTGTAATACCCAACTTGTTGATGGTGATGATGATGATGTTGACTGAAACCTGGGTACATTTGCTGATGGGCATCATGTCCAGAAGTGGCTGGCTGTTGCCAAGGACTGGGAAACCCTGGCAACCCTCTGGTACCATGGTGGGATCTTTGGTAAAAATTTCCTGGCCACTGTTGAAGGTCTTCTGGGTTCTGGGCGGAGGAATTTTCCAGTGGTTCTGGGATTTCTTTGGTTATTCTTGCTGAATTTCTGGTCGTCATCATCGAAGGAGACGATGACGAAGACCTCATGCAACTGGAACTCATTTGGTTTTCACAATACCTGAGAATCAAAAGAAAATTAAAAAAAATTAAGAGCAAATGAAATATAAAATTGCTTCTCTGTTGACTAACAAGTATTGTCATGAAGTGAATTTGAGTTCCAAAAAAGCTTCTGTATCTGGAGAAAAATTTTAAAGAATTTTCTTACATGCCATCCCTGAAAAATTATGTGCAGCCAAGTTTAAAATTTTTTTTTAGCAAATTTTAAAATGGAACTAGATTTGAAATCGTAGAAAGTCCTAGAAATTTTTACATTTTTAGCGTTTCTAAAATAAGGTGGAAACAATCTTCTTCAAATGAAATACTGTATTAACCTTAAGCTGATTGCTACATAATTTACACTGGGAACTATTGAAATAAATGAAAATATGGAAGCACATTTTTTTTGTCAAAAGCAGATTCCTTGAATGAGATCAAATATGAAATATTTTGGAAAACCCATTCCTAAAAGTTCGTTACAAACATATATAGAATCACTAATGAGTGAATTACATTTTTCAATTTCAAAGAGAGGATATGGTTTCTGAATTTGCAAAAGAATAAGTGGGAACAAGCCTCATGTCAATTTCCTTCAAAAACTCATATGATTATGTAATTAAAAAAAAATTAATTGCAGAAGAGGCTTATTTGACGATCTTTGCAATCGACACTGATTTTTTCTTCAAATCACATTTTCGGGAGTTTCATGTGAAATTTTTTTAAACATAGGAGCTATTTTTCTTGACAACATTTTATTATTGAACCCCGCAGCAAACTTCAATTGCAAAAATATTTTCCAAATTTGTGTGACAAAGTGGTCAATATTTTTAGCAAAAAACGTGCTTCAATTTACGATAACCCACACATTTAAATATGAACCACATACCGTATGTAAATCACGAAACAAGAACAGAATCGAGTTCTTTGCAAATTTTCCAAGTGTTTTCAACCGGAATATGAAGAAAAAAGAGGAGGAACTTTCGTGGGCCAGAAATGTTGAGAGACTGAGGAGATAATCTTGTCCTGCTGTCAGCAACGTCTCTGTTTCTTATCACAAGAACTTCCTCCAACTGGGGGTGATTTTCCTAGGATTTCTTCTATCTTTATTTTTATTTTTCCCACTTAAAAATATGTACAAGTAAATGAACCAGGATGTGATGCAGTGGAGAAAAAAAAGGGCAGCGGAAGTGTGTATATAAATGTGTTCAAGCGAAATTTAAGCTATGAATTGAAGATTTTTGTCCGATTTTTAACTCTGAAATTTTTGCTATATTTTTACTGATGGGAGGGTTTTTAGCAGAGAGCATAGCTTTAAATCTGCACACGCATGTTATTACAGATTTATGCATGGATTTCTCATCGAGCTTTTCCTTATTTTCAAGTATATATATATATATATATTTTTACGAGAAAGCTTAAAGCATTTTTCCGCTTTGACACTTCGAAATTTTGCTAAATTTTCCTCGCTATATATTCAGCGAAAATAAAAATTTGAATTTCCACAAGTGG